TTTGTTAATTTTTTTTTTCTGAATGAATCTTTTTTTTTCTTTGCTTCTTCTCTCTAATACGCAGCAGCTACGCAGCAACGAGCCCAGAAAGGTGTACTTTGTAGAGAGAGAGAGAAAAGTCGTTCGCCGGTTGCCCCTCCGATGTGACGACGCTGCTATCCGTACAGGATAAGGTATCCGTACCTTTAACTACAGGTTCCATTGCATCCATCTATCTTTGTTGTTGGAAAGAATGGGAACAAAAAGAACAAGTGAGCCAACCGGTGTTGGAACATCGTAGCCGCCGCAGACTCCCGCTCCCTTCTCTACGCCGCCGCACGCCAACGGCCCAGCAACCGTTTTACTCGTTTTTTTTTCTTTCTAGACCCTTTTTTCGTTCTGTCGTACGCGACCAACAAATTATCGAAATTCACAGTGGACCATAACGAGATGGCCGGGTGATTTCGATACGCGCTGAACCCGGGCATGGAACCTAGCACCCGTGCCGGGTCCCTTTCCTGAGTTCAACAAACTGTCTCCATCCAGTCAGATAAGGTATTAGAAAGGCAACGAAAAGGGGGTGCCGCGGCCAGACTCGTAGACGTCGCAGTTTACTGTTAGTTGAACCGGCTGGCGCTGGCTGACTGACTGACTCTGGCGAGGCTTTCGCTCGGGCTCCTGTCACCGGCGGGATGTGTGTGTAATAAAGTTCCCTTCTCGGTGACTCATGTCGCACTGTAATCTTTCAGTCCAGGCCTCTTCTCCTGATACCGCTACTTTCTCCCTGGACCTGCAAGAAGTAACTGCACACTGCCCTCACTCCGTTTCTGGCTCACCGTCCGTATCCCTTTCTGAAAAGTATTGAAAGTATCCATGGAGTATTGGGTACTGTTACATTCGATGGCCAGAACTCGAGGCCGTGACGATCGAAAAGTGGATGAGGGGGATGTTGAAGGCTGGCATGAACGAATGAAAAGGATACGATGCTCTTGCACCACAGGCTTGCAGTACCAAACTTCCATGGTTCCTCACCATCTCCCACACACTGCTTGGGGAAAAAAATAAACAAGAAAATGAGCAAAAAATAGAAAAATGGGAGATATTTCAGGAAAACAGAGAAAAGGCATTGCCTACGCGTCTGTGGCATATCCATCCTAAAACAGATTCACTTCGAAACCTTTTCGCAGCCAGAAAACTCGCGTGATGTCCTGCAGCCAGCCCATGACGGACGTCATATTGCGGCCGCCCCCCCTTCGAGGGTGATGCCGTTGAATGCGCTCCATTCTCGTGCATTGCATAGGCAAGCTTTTCGCAGGGCAAATCGCGACACCACCGAAAAAGTAGAGGTGTGTCCACCCTGCAACCACAACGCATCTCCCACTCGCCACCACCACCACCACCACCTCAGAGAGCGGATGGGTAGGTAGCAATGAGAACGAGACGAGAGCTTCAGGACTGGTTGGCTTCCCGGCACAGTACCTAAAAGAAACATAATACTCGCCGTAGGCACTACAGGCCGATCGATTGTTCTCTGCTCTTCTCCCACGCTCCGTAATCCGTTTGCCAACTGTATTCCCCTTCGCCGTATGAGCCGGCTCTCTCTCTCTCTCTCTCACTCTGCCCTACACGAACGCATGGGAAACGTTGTGACCAGCGGCCAAGTGCCGGCATGGCTGGGCAACCTCTAGCGGTCGTCTTCCATACTATCGCCTTTCATATTCCGCCCTCCATTCTGTAGGGAATCCTCCGTCTTCTCCCATTTGTACTCACCGTTTCCCGCGCCTCTCAGCCCAGCCCAGTGCCGTCCCTTTAACCTCGTCCACTAGTCCCTTCCATAGCAAATCGCTAGAACCCCCCGAGTGCTTTGCGTGTGTCGTTGGAAACTTGGCAATTTTGAGGGACCACCACGCTCGCCTAATACGGCTGCAAAACGGGACTCGAACTTCGGAGAGAGAGGGTCTACGCTAAATTCCTCACTATTTTGCGACACGCGCTTTTGTCCTGTCAGGTCACTTTTCCAAAGGGGAGCGAGACATGGCCGGTTCCTCGTTAAGCAGAAAACCCTTGGGGCCAAGATCCATATGGTCAAAGAGAGTGTGGGCTGCAAGCAAGGGGAGGGAGGGACAGGAAGAGGAAAGAATAGGAGCCAAGGTGGTCCCCTATCAAAACGACGACCACGCCATAGGGCCACGATGGAGAAAATGGGGGGCCAGTACGCTACCTTACGCTTCTCGTCGAGATGTGCCGCTAGTCCTGCTAGCTGCATCCTCTTTAAAACCATGTGACTCAGGCAAGATACCGTCTAAGCAAGATTTATCCAGAGCGGGAGTGTCGATCAGTTTGCGCACCTTATCCCAAGGCCTCATTGGACTCGTCGCACCACGACTGAGTGCGCTGATGGAGGGGCATAACCGTATGGGTGTGAGAGGTGGTACGTGTGTGTGTCGCGTCTTTCATCGACTCGATGGCGCTCTCATTCAGAGTTCGCCCAGCATTCGTCAAGTTGTGAGCCAAGTGAGGCCGGGCAATGAGATGCGGCGGCCAGCCTGAGTCCCTTTGCGCCTGCGCCATGCGAGACTGTGCAGAGCCGGCGCCATGTATTTCTTCTTAGACAGGCGTACTGCAACCTGCCTGTTCTGCCAGTCACCGTTAGGTTGTCTCCTTTCATCCTAGGCATGCTTCTTGTGCTTCATGGACATGACAATGCAGGGCAAGCAGCCAAATGTTTCGGACTCTGCCTCGCTCCCGTAGCGCGGTCTTGGTGTTGCTCGTTAGTTGCGCCAATCTGTGTCCATCTCGTAGATGACTTGTATCCATGGATATTGTATCTTGACTCTGGAAGCGTGGCGCCACTCGGTAACCGTACGAATACAGGATTCTCCTTTCTGGTGGGGAGAGGGGGCCGCCGCGTTACTGTCGTCGTAACGGTAGCGGACCAGAAAAGGAGAAGTCGTTCAAAGAAGACTCGACTGAGGCCGGCACGATGGATCCACCGTAGGAGACGACAAGAGACCATTCTCATGACAATCAGAAACAACAGCCGCCCGACACTGTGCAACTGCCAATCAATCGGAGATCCACAGGCCCTTGACTTGGACCCATTCCGCATATTTGATCCAAACAATCCTAGCTGCCGCCAGGCCTAGTCTTGGTCCTCTTTGGACAACAGACAGGGACTGACGGGGATGTAGGGGGCCGTTCCCCTGCCTCTCATGATCAGAGGCCACCTACGGGAATTTTTCTTTCCTCTCGAGATTCTCAGGACCACAGCGTAAGAACAGGATACATTAAATCCCCTCCACCGTACGGTCCTGACTGTCGGCCTGGAAACAGGCACACATTGCTGACCCGACGGCTTCCCCAATCAAGTCTTTCGGGAGTTCATAGTCCAGAGTCTAGACGCCAAACGCCAAACGACACTCCATCAACAGCTCCGTTCGGGCGCGTGTCCATCTAGACTCTAGACCTGCCAAGGGGACTTGCGGCTGACTCCAGCCCGCCGGCTTCCCATACCAGACCCCTCGAACGCAGCACAGCATATCCCCAACGAAGCGAGGTTTGTATTCGCACAAAGTACCCGCCATCGTTTGGACATTGCTTGCTGCTTGGGTGACCATCCGTGACGGGGACCCGATGCAGATGCGCAGGGACGGCAAATTACGGCCACTGCCGAGCTAAAAATTGCTGACGGACACGGCCTTCATTTCAACAAAGAGCCTTGGGCCGTCCGAGTCGGCCACTATTGGCTCCGTGGGGTTCCAGCGCGGCGCTACCATCGCGATCCTATTTAACCACTTGGCCATTCTCGCCTGAAGCGTACCTAGCTTGCAAATTAGGTGATGAATGATTGCGCCCCAACATCTGTACCTGACATTGGGCAAGCCATGACAGACGTTCCGAGCTGATTGACGGGCGACAGCGGTAAGTCCATCACGGACAACGAGTCCGAAATCAGAAAGGCTAATATTCGGAGAGTCATGCTTGGCCATTATGCGGTGCCCCTAAACGGTGCGATCATGTCCTAGCATCTAGTTGATCGACACGCCTGGTGTCGTTGGATGGCCACCGGGAGGTCAACCGAGTCCGTCTGTTCAAGGTGGCCGACCGCTCTTTTGATCGGTTTGGAATTCCATGGGATGGGTTGGCTTAGGATGAAAGGGCCACCCGTGGAATGCGATTCGATATCCAGGATGCCCATGAAGTGAAAGCCGAATCAATGTCGACTTATGCCATCAGATGCCACCTACAAGCCCTGCCAAATGCGGGCTGCGCGTACCTCACTCAGAACTGTCCTTCACAACCCTGTTAGCTGATCCCTGGTCTATCTCTGCTTTGATTTTACTTCCTAGGTTGAGAAGTCGCATTTGCAGCGGAATTTCATGTGGTCCCACATAGCAACCAGTCATGCTGGCAGTGACTCCAGGGAGAGGCCCGGCAGCCGGAGAACAGCTCATTGGTGTGGGACGGAGACTCGGAGCCGGGCGTTCGTTGCCCCTCGAATTCGAGATCCGCGATGGTATCGCTTCTTGTCGCCCAAGTGGGTTTTTGGGCGATGATGAGGATGGCGAGCAAGGTTCACGCGGATCCCATAACACCCCAAATTACCATTCCTAGGCGTTGTCTTGACAGAGGTGAAATAGAGTTGGCGGTTGGAATCTTCGGCAGACAGCGAATGCGTTCATGAGACCACGTAGGTACTTCGTACGGATAGACTAATACAGCCCTGCTTGGCTCAAATAGATGGCGAAATCGTCATCCCCCCAATCTCGCCGCAGAGCGCAGGCCATCTCGCCATCTCCCTGATCTGTCCTGACGAACTGCAGCATCGAGCAGCCGAACGCCCTGGTTTAAAATGGGGCCGTGATTGCAGTCTCAGATACACATGACTGGAGGCGGAGGGGCACGGAAGGTGGAAGGTTCTGGTGGCCTGGCTAGGAATGGTGTCAATGATGGCTGGTATCGTATCGGATTGCCTGGCGTGAATCCTAGTACCAGGAATCTCGCGGATGTGTGTTGCCGAATCAGATTGCTCCGAGTTGATAGTTTGGGAACGTATTCGATGTATCTGTGCCTGTACTGCGTATGCTGATGGCTCGAGACGGCAGATCTGGTTGGGCCTTATGAGTTGTCGATGATGTTGTGGTATCTCGTCGGTTCTCGACCAAGAACCAGGGTCGTGATTGACGTCCATCTTCGTTGGCAAGGACGTTACGTAAGATTGAAGAAGTCCTGGGCACGACGGTGAAGGCAAGAACATTCTATGGTAGGTAATGTAGGTAAGGTACATCGAACATTGAACAGGACGGGAAGTTAGGAAGTAGGTACATCATCCCACCCTCGTTCCTGGCAGTCCCATGTTGTAACTTCAGGCCAAGGCAAGCACCAAGTACCTCAGGTAAGGTAGATGGCGCCTTCCAAGCTCACGGTGACGGATCAGAGCGTACTGACCTCAGGCAAGGCGCTTACAGATAGGAGGGCACTTTGCTTTGCAACCTTCATTGATCGATACCAACTCCGTACTGGCCAAATGTTGGAGTATCACCACCCTATTCGCCTCCTACATGCCTTGAACCCGTCCGATGCAAATCTGCCCACTGCCACCCAGCATCGTCACGGCATTCCTATTCTTGGCCTTTTTGTCATGTACCATATTCGGGGCTGCGTTGGCAGTGGCTGAGAGACCTGCCAACGGCAACCGATAGATCATCCCCCCTGGCCTGTTTTGCGTATGCGCATGATCGTACTTTATTCCCTTTCCAAGCAGTGGAGATCCATTGTCCGTTTGATATGCCATCCTCGGTCCGGCCATTTTACGTCATCTGCCATCTTGCAACCTATCGTTACTGCAGCCGATACAATCACTTACGTCTATCAGTTTGCCAAATGTACAAAGAAGGCTATGGCCATACGGATATACTGACTAGAACCAGTCATCTTCACGAACACACGCACATGATTTCTTGCACCCAGATAACATACCTATCCCGCTGGTTCAATGAGCCGCCCATGCCGTCGTCTCCCATTTGAGACAGACGACCTGGGGGTGGGTAGCTCACAACGGCTTTGTGGAGTGAAACATTGACATACCACGGAGTACTGCAACCACCACTGCGACACGGCTCCCACGGCTCGCCTTACCTGAATCTCTAATAATCTCACCGGTCGGTATAACGGTGTAGCAGAATACGCTAACGATTTGGACACACTGCGCCGGCTCGCCCGGCTTGCTTCGCCTTCATTGATCTTGCATTCCGCCCGTCTGGGACAAAGAATCTTGATAACCAATATACATCCCCGCGGTTCAACTCGTGTGACGTTGATCACCCGAGTATTAGATACAGCTTTGACAGCGCTGTCCCGGACTGCGGACCCACGGGGCCTTGCAAACGGGACCGGCCGGAGTATATCAACTCCCCTCCCGCCTCAGCCCACGCATCCAGTCGCCACGATTGTACAGTTCGTCGGAGCTTGATCGGATGGGCCAGTACTGGAGCTGTGGTGTGCGCTGTATTACTGAGCACACCAGTTTAAACGCAAAAAACCCGGCCACTCAAGCGCATTATCGGTCACCCATCAGTAGCTCAGCTGGTGCTTGCTGATCCACGAAGCCCGCAGGTGAAACAAACCCGTCTCTCGTTTGATGCAGGTGGGGGCTTGATTGAGACACACGAAGAAGAGCAGGCACTCCGTCGTAGTACAGCGATGAGGCCGCCAGATTTGACCAGAGGAGGCATTTCAGATGAGTCCGCTCCTTTTGCTGGCAAGGTGACCCAGGTCAAGCAAAGCAGCTATGTCCGAACCTCTTCGTTTCCCCAACCTGAGATGGCTTGCCATCAGTCAGAGTTCCGGTCACAGTTGAGCGCAGCAACATCGAATAAAGGGTAATAATCCGATGTTTGCTAGACCTGAATGTTTACCACTTGTCGGCGATAAATGAGGCGGTAAAAGGGAGTATCGATGCCCAGACTTTACGCATTTCTGAGTTTGTCCCGCTGACCGACTGAGTTTACTTCGAGCTTGATTCTCGGCCTCCTCGCCCATAACGAATTTGCGGTGACGGTCTCCGATACAGCTCCGCCTTGGGGTCGTGTGGCTCGTACACCACCATTCATGTGTTGATCCCTCGTTGTCTTCACACCATGGGCTGGCAAGGCCCGGCACACAGAATAAAACGTTCATGCAAGCCCCGCCGTTGGTATGCACATGATGCATTTGGCTTCTCGGCTTGTCTCCCCTCACCACGTTCTAGATCCCCGCGTACCATTGCCAATGTCTCGCACCACGACGAGTCAAGTGGCTCGCCATCAAGCAAATCGGAGGGGGGTCGCGCAGGTCGCATTGCTCGACTTTCTCGACGTCAGCCGTACCACATTATTTTTTCTCGAGTCGAGGTCTTGTTTGCCGTTGTCACCGCCGGTGCCGCGAATTCCTTAGACGCCATCCATCCAACCGTGCCATCCGGCCTAGTGGCCATTTTTGGCGTCATCTGTGAGATGTACTGGCTCGGTGGTTCATGCGGTACTTCCAATAAGGGATGCAGCTCTTATCACACCGCATATGGGGGAAGTCTGAAGTGTCAAGCCACTTTCTCAAGGCAGACTTGTGAAGTGAGATACTTTTGTGGCTTTTGAGGGCCCTCGTCCTGGGAAGTTTTATGTTTGCATGCTGTAGGCTTTATGTCGGCTGAGTTTGACTTTCAAGGGAAGTTCTGCGGAGTTCCTTGCAGCTCTACCATGCTTCGAGTCTCACGTCGCTTGTCAAAGTAGCTAGGAAGGCCTGGGGTCTCGACTCGGCTGAGAATTATGTTTGTTGTTGCACCTCTTCTCAAACTTGAGTCTCGAGTTGAGACTTGATAATGCTCATTGCTCGCCAATATCCCGTTTGGTCGTAGAGGCCGGGCACGTGATTGTAATCAACGACATCTGATGCAGCTCAATGTCTATCCTCCTGCGTGCTATGAGAACATCGAGTCCGGTCCTGCGCAAGGTCGGTCGGAGATCCTCAGCGTGCCTCTTAATGATATTTGGCCCTTCCACATGACGAAGTAATGGAGTACAACCTGCCTGCATAGTGACAACAATGAGAGATCTTAGTCGTCAGGCGTAGTAGGAATATGTCCCTCCGTGCCCCTCTGCGCATATGGTGTCGTATCTATACTTGATGGGTTGATCATACCATTGACAACCACTTAGGGGCTCTCTTCTGTGCATCTTTCCAGTTCCAGCAAGCATTTAAATGGATAGGGACATGAAGAGATACCTAATGAGATCCAGCCAGAGGGATAGCAGTCGTTGGTTGATCTTGTCGGCCTCAGCCCGATCTTATCTCTAGCTTGATATGCTACTTTGCGCATAACAGTGAGATCGCCTCACAAAGAGTACCGGCTCTAGACCTCGTAGCATAGGGAGGGCGTGCCTTATTTTTCGGTCGTTCTTCTGACAGCTGTTGTACATAGCGTTGTTCAGGGCCAATCTTTCTACCAGTCGATTTCCCAAGGTCGCAAACTGAGGAAACGAGCGCGAGATATTCGAACAGACAGCTTGAGTGAAGGCCCTAGGTATCAGGTAGATGAGATATAGCTAACATATGATGTTTTTCCTTAATCGCAGCCTTGTGTGTAGAGCTGAAAGTCCTGCTCCTTCGGTGGCGCGTGCTTGAATGACGTTATCACCTATTCTGGGGAGGAGTTTTGCTGGATGATTTAACAAGACTGAAATGAGGCCGCTGCCTTCTGTCGTAGGCCGCGCTGTTTCACTGACACGCTGTCCTCATCAAGTCGTCAGTAGCTGGTGTGTTTGTAGGCTCGTTGTACACCACGGCAGAGTCTCAAACTGTTTGGTCGAGTGTCTCTCGAGACATCCGTTGTTATGAAGCGCAGCCGCCGTACTCATTTCGGTGTAGCTGCAAAGATGAAAATGAGTAAGCAAGATACCTAAGCTCTGGGAATGATGGGGCAGTGTGTATCAAACTTCGCTATCTCGAACGTTATGGCCGAAGCTGGTCTCCAGGCGAAGCCGCGTGGCTGAGTGACATTTCTCTCGTGGCAAACAAGCTCGAGAGGTACATATATGGTGTCTCCTGATTATATATTGAGGAGAAGCCTGCTCTCTCGAGGACCATGGGATTTGTGAAGCTTACAGGCGCAAGAACTATGGATGTCAAGCCTCAAGGTTACAGAAGCATAAAGCTGGCGTCAGTTTACACGGAGCTGGCTGACCGGGAAAGGTGGATGGGTGGTCCCTTCCCAGACTATTGCTATCCTTTCTCCTAGACCGGCCACAACTCGAACCATACCGCAAGCAAATATCGAGTCACCTAACATGCCACATACCATCGTCGCTATCAGCGCCAAGAGCAAAAAATCCGACCAGGACAGCAGAGCCAGGTTTATGACATATCTATTTGTTGTAACCATAGCCTCATCCTTCCTCCAATGTGACGCCTCAGCTCCTTCCTATAGAGTAAGTGATTTTGTTCTCAGCTCTCCAATCCGACAACGAGCTCGAGGAACACAACTGATCCAAAATGGCAGACCAATGGAGCTCACAAAGGATAACATGAGTCTCTGCGACCCATATCCCGCTCTAGACTATTCCAGATGGCCTCTTTGTACTTCGGGAAGCCATGACCTCTGCCACCTGCCTGCCATCTAGGTACAATCTGCCATCCTCAAGGTGAACGATATCCCATCCTATCTCCCCAGCAACTCCCACAACTTCTCCCCCATCACCTGACCGAACGACTGAAAACCACCATACCAAGCCTGAAAGGGGTAATATTGAGGAGAGGAAGGAGCCCACTCGAGCTTCCTTCCCTGGGCTGTGCAGTCTTTGGTCTTGGTATTTTCACCTTGAATTTCCTTTCTGGGCCAATTCCACTCACGCTCACACTCACACTTCCACTTTCACTTGAGTCATCTTCACCTTTTGTTCACAACCTATCTCCATCACCTTTGACCCGACACAACCTTTCCGTCCTCAGTTTTCTTTTATGAGAACACCTAGTACCAATTCCTTCTCGATAATTTCACCCCCGACCTCTTTCTTCTTCTGCCCAACACACAGTTGAAGACAAAAGCAACTTGGACTTTGCTTCACTGGCATTGTCCCAGTTGCCACTCCCTCCAACCCCTAAGTTTCTTGGTAATTGGCTTTTCTTGCCCTTCAGTACTATCATTCCTCTGCTCTCGCCTTTTACGATCATTAGAGCCAAGAAAGGCAAAGACTGCCCCTCAAGTATATCCTTCCTTCGTTAGCCAAAGACCAATATCGAGCACAACAAGATGGCCAGTCGCCGGCCTCTCTGCTCTAACAAGATGGAACTCACAGTTCCCGCCGACGGCAAACTTCATGAGGTTGTCGGCCGCACTTTGAAGGAGCAAACCACGCACCAACTCAAGCTAGTCACAAAGCTTCTGGTCGGTCCCAATGGCTCTTTGCCTGACTTGCCTGCTGATTCGCCCCCCAACATTGCATTCTGGGACGATCTTCGACAAAAATTCCTCACTACTGGGGTCCGTCAAGATAACCCTGGTCCGTCGACCTCCAGAGCAGATTCCAGCAAGGGAAAGAGCATCAAGGCGAACCAGGCCAATGTTACTCTGGAAACACTTTTGAGGGTGGTGCCTGTTGGGCAAGAGATAATCGCCCACTTGTGGCTTGTCGACACTGCAGCCGTTGGCAAGTTGGCATCAGCTTCGATGGGCTGCTACGAAGCCGTTGCGATTCATGTGGTAAGTCACCATTCCAAAAGAATTGTGCTAACCTGAAGCTGACACTGCCATAGTCCAAATTCGACCTCCCTGCCGGCGAGTATCGGGACTGCGACTGGCTTCCGCAGCAATTGGCTCGCATGGACGACGACTGGCGCGTCAACATTGATATCCGTGGCATCGGCCGCAATCTCTTCGTTCGCGGCAAAGCCCTCGATACTAACCCGTATGCTGAGTACTACTTCAAGGATGCTCCAGCCTTTTGGTCCAGCCCCGAGAACCGCGATCACTTGCGAACTATCTCAGAAACAC